GAATAAGTATCCCCGACACATGTGCACAAGTAACAGTAATATGAAACTAATTTCCAGTTCCACCGATGTACACGGCACCTGTAATCATAGGTGGATCCAGAAGAAGGAGGCGAAGGATTTTTCCTCCTTTCTTTCGGCAGATCTGAATGCGCAAAATGAGTGTCGCATATTTGGTCGGAAATTATATTGCTAGCTGTTATCGGAGTACCACAAAACGATAGTGAAAATATGGATGGGGGTCACACTGAAGCGATGCACTGCTCCGCAGATAATGCTCTTGCCAATAACAACATTTCTAAGAGACTTTACTAACTATTCAAATACAATTAGTACAGAAAAGTAACGGGAAACATCTATAAAGCTAAAAATAATATAAAATACAAGAGACAGGGAAAAAAAACTTTACAGAACAAGCATAATAAAAACACATTTACATGCACCAGCATAATTATCAACACATGCTATATCCAACAGCGCAACAGTAACCAGAGAAGGGGGAACCCGCGCGCAGTCTAGAACTGCATCTTCTGCTCCCGTCATTGCTGCCGCTGTTGCCGTTGCCATTGTAGCTGCTGCTCCCATCGCTGCTGTTGATGCTGCAGTTGCTATCGCCGTTGCTGCTGCAGTCGTTGTTGCCGTCGTCGCTGCCAGATAATTGAGTCCTTTATCTGACAGATCTGAAAATGTAATATGCATCAGAATTAATAGATATAGAATGGTGTTAAGTTTTAATTAAAAGAGAGGCGCGCAATCCAGAGGGTCCGTACAGCCATGAATTTTCGCAAGCTTCGGTTACGAAGCTACATTCTGTCAGCGACAAACTGCACGCAGCCGTACATAAGATGTAGGGGATGTGTAAGTTCATTTCAAGTTGTAATTTTACTAGGATTTTTGCTGTCCATACGTGGAAAGCAAACATCCTAGTAAAATTACAGCTTTCTACCCAGCTTAATTCTTCACTCGATACGGTTTGCTCATCCGAGCTTTGACATTTCCATACTTGAGATCAAGATGTACACGAAGGCTGGATTTAAATTCTTTGGGAGCTTCACTGCAGAGTTCCAGTGTTTCAGCTTATCCAATTCCCTAAACCACTTTTTTACCAAAATGTCTTTCGCGTGCTCGTGCACGAGATTAAGGGGATGTGAACGTTAATTTTATGCTGGGAGAGCCTTCCACACTGGTTTATTACGTTGCTTCTTTCATGCCTTTTATAAAACTGCAGACTGAAATATGCGGCCACGTACCCACATACACATGCAGGCACAATATGCTCTTTTAAAATGTAGTTTTTGTGTTGAGAAGATGCAAAAAAAGCGCAAAAACGCAACCAAAAAAGGTGCTTAGCAAACGAAAAAAAAAACGTATGACCGCTTCGATCAACATTCAAACGTATTACCGTTCATCGTGCAACTCGAAATCCGTTGCTGTATCCTGGCCCGCAACTGCATCGTGTGTCTGCCGCCGTGTCACTATATCTTGTTTCACGACGGGGGTCCTGCCCCACGACTGTGTCAAGTGGCGCAACCATAACACGCTCCACCACTTCTCCATATTCTGCCGCTTTGTGGAGCCGTGCCACGGCAACTTGCTCCTTCAGCATATTACTTCCTGTATCACATTTAGTTGCCGTTTCATGTTTTGCTGTTGCATCTACTCTTTCATCATCAATGTTGCTAACGCTCGGTCTCTAATGCTAGTTTTCTGAATTGTAAGCTGAATGCATCAGTTTCAGCCGTTGCCTCTATTACAACATGCCCGACCATTCCAGAGGTGTTCTAAATCTGAAGACGAGAAATCTGTTTTGAAATGGTTTTGCCCCGCCAAAACACGCATCAAATGGGCATAGACCAACTGAAAAACATGTCCAAAAATCGGCGTACAGAGCTGCGCAACTCACCTTACTGTCTCTCGCTGCAGCTCATGGAGGTGCGGACCGAAATTCGCCCAAAACATATGACAGGGACTTGCCAGCTGCCAACTCGCTCGAATCCACTGCAATCAGCTCACTCTTAGTACGTGCGGCCAGCACTTGACGTGCACGCAGTCGTCTGAAAAAAGAACAGCCAGTAATGCCAATGCTACGGTCATCCTGACTTTATTTATTTTCTTTTATTAACAATTCAGCTCAAAGAGTACCAGAGCTGGATTTGCGCAAAGGAGGGCCGGTCCAGTTATTTACATCGGATGGACCGCGGGAGTTCACCACTGCAAAAAACCTTCTACCACACCTCATCAACGCGAAAAGAATACATGTCTTAGGATACGAAACGATTACGAGGAGCTGGCACTACATAAAGACGAAAGCCAATCTCATCAGGCATACCCGCAAGTGGCAGTTTCTGTGGCTCTGAGTCAGGGCTGTACTTACTAATTGTCTAACCCTTGCACGGACGCGCAACTTGACCGAGCGAGAAATGAGGAAGGGGCTGAGGAAGAGATGTGAACTGCGTTAGGACTAATCCGCAGACTACTGGTACCACCAATACCGTTGCGAGCGGAGATCAGAATCGTAGCTGGCAAAGAGAGAACGCTCCAAAGATAATTGCTCCCTTCCACCACGGAGAACTTCCGCACGAATTTATCGTACGGCATCGGTGCTCCCCCATCCCCCCTTTGGTCCTAGCTGCCATTACCCCCCCCCCCCCCCCCCCCCCCCCCC